GACACTTATCCATCGATAGAGGCCCGCCTTGACCTTGGTGACCAAACCAAAGGCTTCCTCATCTACCTAGCGTTCTTTCCCACTCCCCCCAGCAATCTTCTATTTTAAAGATTGCGGTCCTGTTGACAGAGCGACCCGCCCCATGTACAAAGCCGCAGAAAAGGTAGACTTGGGTGTTTTTGTGTGCTATAAAAATTGGTCCTGCCCTTTTGTGGTTCAGCAGGAGGTAATATATATATATTTTAAAGGGCAATGGAATTTTCCCAGCAGGGGAAATTCCAGCCGCCAGAGCTGTGAGCCGGCCTGAAGCTGGAGCGTTGGCAAGCCACGTTGCCAACTTTCCTTTTTGTGTGTATTTGATCCCCTCGCTGCTGGAGAAATGCTGAATGTTGAACTGGAAAGGTTTGGCCAACGGAAAGTTTGCTCACGATTACCAGGCTTGGCAGCATTCCATCCAGGGATCTTGGTTGCCATGGTGACAGAACTACCGTGTGCCATCTTTTTTCTTTTTCTTTTCTGCTCTCTTTATTTTTGCCCTGGAACCTGTGAAGAGGACCGGGAATCTTATGGGGTCTGTTTCTCGCAGTGGTTTTGTGTTGCAACCGTTACCGGTGTCAAGTCTTCTGAGATCAGCGTCGTGACTTTTGTTTCTTAAAAGAAAATGCATGTGTACAAGCTTTAAATGCAAAATGTAACGCTGCGTTCTGCTTTCAAATGTCCTTTCCTGGCAGGCTTTTACGAGCCTGAAGAGCAGATGAGCATAAATGCAAGAAATAATGCTTTCTGTTGGCTGCACGTTCCTGCTGATCGCCACTGCACCTCCTCCTGAATTTCTGGCTCTCACATTGTGGTGGAAAATGTGTGATAAAAAGAGGTAGACCTCCCTGCCTCCATTTGGCACAGTGCTTTTGTCTTTTTAAAAGATCTGTAGCAGATTTACAAGATCCACAGTAGCATAATGCAGTGGTTCCCAACTGGGAGGAACAGCAACTCCCAGAAGCCTTCGCCACTAGTTCTGCTTGGCGAGGGTTTCTGGGAGTTGCAGTTCAAGAACACCTGGGTGACCCAACCACTGGTGTAGTGGACAGAGTGTTGGACTAGAACTCAGGAGGTAAGGTAAAGATTCCCCTTGACATTGAGTCCAGTCGTGTCCAACTCTAGGGGGGCGGTGCTCATCTCTGTCTCCAAGCCGTAGAGCCAGCGTTTGTCCAAAGACAATCTTCTGTGGTCACGTGGCCAGCACGACTAGACACAGAATGCTATGACCTTCCCTCCGAGGTGGTACCTATTTATCTACTTGCATTTTTACATGCTTTCGAACTACTAGGTTGGCAG